ATTAATACGTAGATGCCAGTGTGTAGTATATGAGTGTGAGTGTGTGTGTGTGTGTGTGTGTGTGTGAAAGGAGTGAGTGTGTGTTATTATTTTGCTTAACAGTTTGCATTTTTAACTATCTATATTTAATAATTTTTCAGTTTCCTCGTAAGATAAAGATATTAAAAATTAGTTAGAGCTTGCTTATATTTGAAACATGTTAGTCGATAGGTAGGCAAAAACGTTGTTGCCCATAAATCGGATTCAATTTGGGATAGTTGCAGATAAAAGAAGAAGCTTTATTTACTGATATTTTAAAAAATTGCAATAACATTATATCATTATTAATGTATTTAAGCTTAAGTTACGAATTTGATTACTCTGAAAAATATAATATAATATGTATATAATGGCAACAATATTTATCATTTTATTAGTCTGGACCCAAAGGGTGTTAAAAAAGATTGTTATACTAAGCCTACAATGTTGGGTCTTGCGGGCTTAGTAGTACAGTCCAGACGGAATGTAACAGCCATGCAACCGACATCGCCTAGTATATGTATACTGGCCGCCTAATAGCAGGTGATTCTAAGGTACAGAATAACATTTCTCAAACTTGCATAATACTAGAATACTACTGAAGGGAGGAGACAAAATTTCTTTAGCAAAATTATTTCTATCTATTAAGTCATTAGATGAGTTATAACAAGAAAATAAAAATCAATACTGATTACAATATTTCAATTACCTATGTAAAAAAGGACAAAATAATATAGATGATTTACAATTATGAATGTATTGATAATATCATGCACAATTAAAAACCCTAGCATGTCTACAATACCTAAAATAGCAATATTTGAATCAAAAACAAGTTAAATAATAAATAAGCTCATGAACACAAGAGCAGAGTAAAACCAGCAAACAATAATTTCATTTTGACAATAATTGGTTGTCTATTTATTTCCCTGATTTAGAATTAACCTTAAAATTTTGTCTCTATATTATATGCTTGCAGTTACGACGTAAATAGAATAAATTTTATTCAAAACTACAAAACTTATTAGAGAATACTTGATTACAAAACTCATTAAGTAACTAATGTTTTTACTCGTTTGGGAAAAGCCTCTGTCCTATGTAGAAAACAAGCAAGAAGTCCAAGCGGGTCATTTGAACAAAATGTTATTTAGAATATAATGTTTTACAATTAAATATTAAAACATTTAGAAAAAACATTAATCACCCCATTTCCAGGGGTTTATCAATCGTATATTTTATTGTAATAACCTTTTTTGAACAACTTTGCTTAGTTATAAATTTTCAGTTTTTGATAGACTGCATATTTTATGACTTGTAAAAACATATACTATTGCCCCATGAAGGAAAACTTATTCTTTGAAGTGGAATAACTGATATAACTAGCTTGTACTTGTTCCTAGTATTTACAGAATATACATTACTATTTTTAATAAAAAACTATTGTTGCTTTTGTGTACATTAAATTAACAAAAACAAAAAACAAATATAATAAAAAACATACATTAAATTTTCATAAAAGTACTAAAACGCTATAGTTAATATATTTACTTCTAAAAAACTTTCTTGAAGACTCCTTCGAACTTAGGTTGTAAAGTGCTCTCATGGCTCTCTTCTGCAAAACAAAGTTATTTCAATGTGAAATGCATTAACCCCATTGCAAGATCCCTTATGTAATAAATATGGCGTATCAAAGGGTCACTATCTCTTTGTTATGGAATGCAAAATATAGTTGTTGCACATTTGCACCCAAGATAGAGAGAACTTGTAAATTTACTCCGTCCATGTCATACACTGTTGCAGATATATTCATCCCAGCCTGACAGCCTGGAAGTTATGCCAGCTATGACTGATTCAAGACCTGAAATCAAAAATTAAATATGTTTTACAACTGTTGAGCTTTTATAATCAACTTTAATTTCAACTGTTGTAATGAAATGAAAAATCATACAAAGTACTAATAATTACCTCTTTTATTAGTACAGTAAGTTGATTTGCAGTTAAAAATGCATTGGAGAAATAGTGGGCAATGGGCTGTGTCAGTCTTCCTAGTACTAACAATCATAAATACTAATGCATATGATGCAATGACTGAAGATGTTCCTTGTGTACTATGATCCTAATACACTTCAATCAAATCGTCTTTGGGTTTATACATCACATTTTTTTAAAGACATTTCATCAAATATCAATATAAATAGATTGTCTGATGGTTTTATAGTATTTAAAAAATCTGCCAGGCCTTAAAAACTGATTGATTGATTCCAATAGCAAAGAATACTCAGTTAACCCTTTAATAGAGCCTGAGTAGCCTGTAACAGGTGGGTGACCTTTTATAAAGCCACATGGCTTTGATTTTCATATGTCATGTAGCTATTTCTTTCAATTTCCTATTTGAACTTGTAATTACAGCGCATATGTTGATGTTATTTTCTTGGACAATTTTCTTACTGTATTTTCATTAGTTAAACACTTAATACAATTTTGGCTTTTAATGTTTTAATGTGATTAAGCAATTGGTAGAATTTTCTCATGTATCACTTTCTTTAATTTTCTTTATTCGTCATGCAGCACAGTTTTTAGTCTCTATCCCATATCCCACTGGGAATCACTGTCAAACACATTACACGCGCGTCCTGACTCTCGATTTCTTTCTTTTTTGTTGTAAATGTACAGTACAGGTACTTAAAAAAATAAAACCTCTTCCCATCACTTGAATCCATTTTGTTGAAAATTCTCTGTCTCGATTAAAAAGTGTCTACAAATACAAAACGTCAAATTTATCTTTCAACATAACAATATTTCTACAAATTTGTTTTCAAGCATTTTGTTTCTGCAGATATATAGATTTAATATAGTAATGTAAAATAAACTGTCAAATATATTTCACTACAATATGTTCCTTGACTATGCAAACGCTTTTTGATACATTCACAGAAAACAGTGTTTAAAACATGTTTTTTTGTGAAAATCGCGTCAGTGCAAACGCACGGTAAGCCACCGCAATGTTTACTAAGTTTCATGCGCAAGTGTACTTGTATGCGCCTATTGTTCATAGTGTAATGTAAACTAGAGCCGCTCGGCACAGACGGTGCTACACAAACACGTAGAAGTGGTTCACTCACTTTAAATACTGCTGCGTAAAGCATTTACATTCTCTCTTTTTTTTAGTATTGCAGAGTTGTATATCAACAGCCTGCAATTAAAATCAGCGCTACTTACTTTTTAACGTAGTGCCACAATGTTTTCTCTTTGGTGCTGTATTATAATTTAGATTATATGTATTCAAATATTTTGGTATTTATACCCATGAAGGTATAAATACCAAATGGTGGTGATGGTGATTGACCAAACTGATGGATTAATAAACCAGTGAAATGGGTCTGAACAAATCTGGTATTGTTAAAGGATTATTTTACACCCTTTAAGCGCGGCGCCCATATAGGTAACGTAACGCGTGATCTGACACGTGATTTGACGCGTAACTTGTCACTCGCCTCAACATTCAAAGGGATTGTATGTAGCAGCGCCCATTAGCGTGGCATGACGCCGCATGACGTGACTTGCCATTCAGCTTGCTACTAGTGACGCATCGAAGTGGCGCGTAACACGAAACTTGTAGTAACTTTTCTATGCAAAATGAAAGACGACCTAGCTTTTAATATTAAATTCATTGAGTTAGTTCATGAAAGACCATACTTATGTGATTGCACTAGACCCGATTGCAGTAACAGGAACGCGCAAGATGCGTCTAGAGATAGCGAAAATGTCGAAGAATCGGATAAGTACCTACACCAACATACAATAATAACAATAATGTTTCATACACGCACTATAGTTTGTGGTTTCATTATTCAAATAAATTAAAAATGCTTTAACTAGGGATTTTGTTTTTAATAGTCTCGTTTATCACATATAAAAATCAATGTTTGTTTGTTTGTTTGTTGGTATATTATGCACTGTGATACCGTTCATCTGATTGTGGTAAAACTTTGTCAAGATATAGTTTCAACCGGTAGGAGCTATTGTCAAATTCAGAAATGGTGTGTAATTTACTCCACAATACCCGTGTGAAGCCAGAGCGGTTCAATCAGTACAATATAAATATTGACTTGGTATTGGAGCGCATTCATCGAAGTACTTCGTTAGATGATTTCTAATTAGTTGTGCTGTGTTTAGACGTGAAGATTCATTGATACTTCTTGTTATTAAGTTGGCCGTAGTTGGAGAAGATCTAACACCATCATGCTTGCGGATGAAGTTATGAAGTACACAAATAGCTTGAATGATTACGTCAATCCTATTTACATCACGTTTAATGGGTCGGTTCAATAATTCAAATTTACTAGTTAACATTCCGAATGTACACTCCACTGATTTGCGACCACGTGAAAGACGATGATTAAACATCCTTCTTTCATTTGTCAGTTGATTACGAGCATAGGGTTTCATAAAGTTTTTGGTTAGAGCATACGCTTCATCTCCAACAAAATAAAAGGGAAAGTTTATTTCCTCACCAGGTAAAGGAGATGGTTCAGGTAAATTTAGATTGCCATGTGCGAGTGCGTTCCCGAAACTGCTTTCTTTTAGTACTCTACCATCACTATTTCGACCTAGTTCTCCAATATCGATACATATGAACATGCTATCGGCGTCCACTACTCCTTGTAAAACTATAGAATAATATCCTTTATAGTTGTAATAAGCAGATCCTGATCTTGGTGGAAATTGTATCCTAATGTGCTTCCCATCAACTGTTCCGATGCAATTAGGTAGATTCCATAGGTCATAAAAGCGATTTCCTACTTCTATCCATTTATTTGTAGTCGGTATCGGCATGTACTCTGGTTGTAATAGCTCCCAAATCACTTGTGATGTCTCATGAACAATTCTGCGAATGCTTGTCGGACCTCTCAAGAAATAGTATGACAGCGCTTTAAATGAATTGCCTGATGCAAATTGTAAGCATACATTATTATTTTCAGTTGCTGATTGCAAAGAAAGATCGAAGAACCTACGAGGTTGCTATACAAGACATTCAAAAAACAACAGACCCTCTGGTTCTTCAGCAAAACATGTAAAGCTCTATTATTTAGCTGACCATCTTCAGTTTTTAGATCGGTACACTAAATCTAGGCAATCAAAAGGCATATTTAATAAAGAAGAGCAAAACACCGAAATACACCAGGAAACACTAAATGAAATAGATGATGAACATGCATTAAGTCGTGAATTTAATAACCCTCCTCCTGCTATTTCTGTAACTAATGAAATAGAAGCCTGTAGCCAGGAAACTGAAAATTTCTCAAGACCAAGTCAATTAAAAAGGAAAAAAGTTTCTTTGAGCGAAGTAAACGCAGCTGCTAAGGAATATTTTCAGTCAAGGCAAAAAATTTCAAAGCACAATGAAAATCAGGATCCAGATTTTGCATTTTTCTATAGCTTACTTCCTGACGTCAAAGATATGAATCGTGACCAAAAAAGAAGATTTAAAATGGATGTTCTTAAATTAGCCAATGACATATTACAAGAAAATATTCCTCAAGAACATGCAACAATGTCAAATTTCAAACCGTATATGTAGGTTCCAAAAGCTACATACATAGCTACTGATCCGGAGTCACCAATCAGTGTAGTAAATTCAACATCAATTCATCCTATGCATGTATTTCATGAAAATTCATTGCCGGAAGGCAATGAAGAACGATCTCAAATATATGCCATATATATTAATAATGACGATACATTGTCCATTAAGTAAATTAATGAGTGAAGTAATTTGTATTAAGAATCTTATATAAAATAACTTAATTTCTACGAAGAGTTTTATTAGGACATAAATTAGTTTCTTACCTTAAAGTGATGAGCAATCTTTCTTCCGGGCTTATTAGTTCTCTAAACTTGGTCCATTGTTTCGTTAAACGAGTTCTCAATTTATTAAGCAAAATATTATAAGTCTCTTTTTCCATTCTATAAAATGTCTGCAACCTGTTTGCGTATAATTCTAATTCCTTCATTACATTGAAAGTACCACCACTTTTCAATTTTTTTTTCCAAAAAGGATGTACTCAAAATCTTCTGCTAGTACTTTGAATATTCATAATCTGTAGCAAAGCAAGGGCATGTTCATCCTCTTCAGGCGTCATTTTGGGTCAAACTGAATTCTGCTACTTGCTATAGTCGCACAGGTTGGTGGAATCAGTGTCACCCGTTGTTACGTCAGAGTATTGTCATAGTCATGCTACAAGCCATGTCGAAATCATGTAGCATAGATGGGCGCCGCGGCTTACCTACGCGTGTCACATGACCAGCGATGGGTAATTTTATACTCTTGCGGTCCCCTCGTTTTTTGGCTCTTGAAAATCGACAAATCATCCGATTTCGATGATTTTTTTTTAAATCTTCGTTTTTTTGGCGGATTTGTTTATGGCGGATTTATGAAAAAAATATGGAAAATATCTCACCTGAAGATTTCATATAGTTTTATGACTTTAAATGTGTTCATAAACGCACTTCTTCGAATATAATCGTTCATAACTTTTTTGCAAAACATTAAACGAACTTTATATTTTTTTGTTAATCTACATAAAAAACGAACATGTAAAACATTGAAAAATGTTTGTTTATTAATTTTTTATCTCATTTAAAGTTTTATATGGTTTTCTGACTTTAAATGTTATCATAATCTCTCCAGAAAATCGAAATAATTATAAAAGTTAATATTTTGATGTTTTACTGAGTGTAAGATCGAAAGAAGCGAGCTCGGGATTTTTTGTTTTCGTTGAGTGGGGTGGTGCTTCTCTCCCCCAACTCTTTCTCTCGTGCGTAGTAGAGGGAAGCCCGGTCGACGGAGCCCCGCTTCGTGGGGCGCCTACTTCAGAGTGGTTTACAAAAAAATAACCACGAAGGAGATGGTGGGGTCTATTCGCTCGCTTTACTCGCTCACTCGAATCCGCCATCTCCTCCTAACCTAACCTGTCCGTGTTGTGATGCCCCACGTCCCGAGCTCGTTTCGCTCGATCTTACACTCAATAAAACACCAAAATATTTTTTTATAAACAAACATTTTTAACGTTTATTTTTTTAAATGTTCGTTTATTTATGTAGATTATGAAAAAAAAAACAACTAGATTTGATTATTTGTAAAAAATTATCAAAAATAATTATGAGTGAGATTTTCATGACATTTAAAGCCCTGAAACCAATACAAGTTAAATTTTTTTATTCCTGTAATTTTTTTGTATATCCGCCGTAAAAAGAAGATTTTAAAAAAATCATCGAAATCGGATGATTTTTCGATTTTCTAGAGCCAAAAAACGAGGGGACCGCTATAGTATAAAACTACCCAGCGATGGTTTGTGAATTCAAGAATTTTCTCATTAGTCAAAAGAGCTAATTCAGTCCGTTGTTTAAAGAAACAGCATACTATTATCGGATAAACGCTTACTATAAAAAAAAACTTAAACATCTGCGCCAGAAAAAATCGACAACAGGCCGTGATGGCTTAATGAAGTAGACGGACAATTTCACAGTTCGACACAAAACTGGAATCGAGACAGAAATAGAACGCCACAGTAAAAGTGTCATGCGATAGCTTAATAATAGCTTGATTTATTTCTCATTTTTATCCGTATGTAATTGTTCTCAACGATAGTTTAGTTTTCTATACTAAAAAGTGAATATGAAATGCTGATTCTTGCCACTTGGAAAACTTTGGCCGCAGGTGTGTTCAATATCGTTATAAATTTAAATCAACAACTCTAACAACGTAACGACGGAAATTACTAATATCATTCATGTAATGCTGATATTATATCACAGTATTATTAATATATTATTATTATTTTAGTAATATTTATAGATAAATAATTATTATACATATCAAGTTTACAGTGTGCAGTGGTCATTTAAAATATATATTTTCCCCTCGTTATTTTTACAACTTGACACGACTGACTATGTTTACTAACTATACCGTAGTCATTATGTTTGTGATATTATATGTACAACATATATTATGACATCTTTTAGTCTATCAACTAGTTATTTTCGATATATTTTAGAATTTATTTTTATTTTAAAACCAAAGTGAAATAAATTGCACACTTTCTCAAATGATGTAAATTAAAACTTCGCTTGATAATTTATTGCTTTTGCGTCCATTACATTTTATGAGGGTATTTTAGAGAAGAGGAGCTAACGTGGCTTTAATGGCGCAGACGAACATTTCGGAAAACCCACTTTGTCCACATGAAAAAATTACCAGTCCTAATAACTTTTCTTATCTTCATCAGCTGTTTTTAATCTGTAATAATCTAATTTATATATATATATATATATATATATATATATATATATATATATATATAACTCTTAAATTTCGTCACTTTGAAAACTGAAAAATTACAAATAGGAGTGTAGAAAACTGGATACCCTTTTTACTGGAAACGAGGTATTCCATCTTAGTCCTCACAGGTGACAACGCTACAGCATTTTGATTTGTAATCGAGGATAGCAACCACTTACCAACAGGTTGACTGTGTGCTCGTTTGTCACCTTCTCCTATTAAAAAAATATTGTTAAATCTGCGTCTAAATTTCGAGATGCCTAGTCCTGCAATCCCCTGTCCTATCACTTTGGCGTTTTATGGTATTATGGCATTATGACGTTTATATGGCATTATGGCGTTTATATGGCAATTTGGCGTTTATATGGCATTATGGCGTTTATATGGCATTATGACGTTTATATGGCATTATGACGTTTATATGGCATTATGGCGTTTATATGGCATTATGGCGTTTATATGGCATTATGACGTTTATATGGCATTATGGCGTTTATATGGCGTAATAGTCTCTACAACGACAGAGACCCAAAACTAGTTGTGAACTACTACCGGCTGAAAACGAAGAACAATAGAAAAGATTTTTTATTCAAATAGATAAGAGAATACCTATTAATAGTCATTTATGAATTTACAACTGGTTTAAATAACCAACAAGGAACCTATCGGAGTCGTTCGTATTCATATCCTCAGTACGTCTTATTGACGTGGTAATGAGTTTCAGTTACTATAGTTCATATAGTAACTGAAACACGTTACAATTACAGACGTCTTTCACTTGTTAAATCAACGCTGCAACTGTATTGTGGTCGTAGCACGAATGGGTCGGCAGTCGGCTTGACCGGAGATGGATAACACTCTCACATAATACCAGCGTAAAATTGCAGCTCAATATTGCTGTGTTTCGTATTGGGAGTGTAGAAAACCGAATACTCTTTTTACTGGAAACGAGGCATTCCATCTTAGTCTTCAGTCTGCATTTTGATTTTAGAATAGACAAATGGGCAATAGCATCCACTTACCATCAGGTGGACTGTGAGGACTGCTGGTTTGTCACCCTTATTCTATATTTAAAAAATAACATGTGTGCAGCTCACACGTGGTAGAAGCGAAACCTTCAGAAAACCAAACTTCGAGGGAATGACACGAATGCAGATTATCAGGAGTAGGATAATTGTAGGGTTTATTTATTATAATATTTTTATCAAGTTTAAAATTATATTATATTGTATTTCATTTTGTATTTTGTATGAGCCGTGGTAGCTCAGATGGTTAGCGCTCGCTGTAAATTTCACAGTACGCGAGCAAACCGGGGTCGATCCCCGCCGGCACCAATGAAATTGTTAATTGCTGGTTTACCACGTACTCGGCGGTGACGGAATACATCGTGAGGAAACCTGCATGTCATGTCACATGAAGTTCGCCAACGCGCATTGGGGCAGCGCGGCGGACAATTCCTTGCCCTAAAACCCTCTTAGAAATGAGCGGAGGCCTGTGCCCAGCAGTGGGACGTATATGGACTGTAACTTTACTTTACTTTTATTTTTTTTTATTTTTTATAGAAGAGGGGGCAAACGAGCGTGTGGCTCACCTGATGTTAAGTGACTACCGCCGCCCATGATCAACCGCAACACCAGGGGAATTGCAGGTGCGTTGCCGGCCCTTTAGAAAAGAGTAAGCTCTTTTCTTGAAGGTCCCCAGGTCGTATCGGTCCGGAAAAATCACCGGTGGTAAATTATTCCACAGAGAGGTTGTACGCGGATGAAAACTCCTTTTGAAACGTACAGTGGTGGACCGCCGAGCATCCAGATGGTGTGGATGGTATCGGGACGTTTGCCGTGTAGTGCGTTCACGAAATTTGGCGGCTGGGATTAATCCGAACAATTCCTCAGAGCACTCCCCCGTGATAGATGCGATAAAATACGCAAAGAGATGCAACATCTCTTCGCAGCGCCAGTGAATCGAGCCGATCGGAAAGCACTCGGTCGTCGACGATTCGAGCCGCTCTGCGCTGGATGCGGTCAAGTGGAAGGAGCTGGTACTGGGGAGCCCCAGCCCAGAGATGGGAACAGTATTCCATGAGCGGCCGAACCTGCACCTTGTAAAGTTGCAGGCGGTGTGCCGGCATGAAATACTGTCCCGCTCTGCTTTTCACGCCAAGTTTTTTAGAGGCCAATTTGGCCTTCCCTTCCAAGTGACCACGAAACTGCACGTCACTCGATATGTCGACGCCGAGG